AAATAACTCTTGGTTTGGTTTTCAAAAGTTAACAAATTCATAGCTAGTTTAATTTTCAATAAAAATCGATTAATTCAACAAACATTAGCATCCACAGAGCCCCAAACATACAACATATTAATATATATACATCAGTGGCTAAATAATCTATTGCTGTTAAGTCAATTCCAACTTAGGGACCCTAAGGACAGAGTGGTAAAAACCCTACAGGACAGAATAGAAATGCTTCACAGCATTTTTAAGGCTGTAAATTTTTACAGAAGCAGAGTGTCACATTTATCTCCCACGGATTAGCTGTGGGTTCAAACCTTTCAGTTAGCAGCTGCTTAACCACTGCACAACCAAGGCTCTTTAATAGTTATATACAGATACACAGGAGCCCTGGTGGTGCAGTGATTAAGTGCTCAAGGATATCTGAAAGGTTTGCCTTCAAACCCACTAGCTATTCCAGGGGAAGAAGATGTGGCTATTGGTTCCTATAAAGGTTTGCTGTCTTAGAAACTGCTGAGGGCTGTTATCTGTCTACAGTGTCACTCGGAGTCACTATTAACCAGATGGCAGGCAATGGGTGATATGTAAAATAAATATTTATCTAGCTATTGGCTGAAAGCCTCTTGTTTAGAGCCAATCAGGGCCTAACGCACAGGCCTGGGTACTGAAAAGTCAGCTGTGTCCCGACTGAGTCTTCACTCTGGAGACTACTGTGTGAAGCCATTGGATTTTGGATTTTGAAAGGTGGGCTCTTCTTGTTTTGATGAATGTGGAGTGTGGACTGTTTCACTGTTTTTATTTCACTCACAAAATGTGTGTGAGCTGATTGAGTTTGCTGCATTTGGCTAACAATGAGCTGTTGGCTGGAAGTCTCTTGTTTAGAGCCAATCACGGCCTGGGGCACAGGCCTCAGTATTGAAAAGTCTGTTGGGCCTGGAGGCCTGGTTTTGTCTTTAGAATGAATACTCTTCCACGTGGTACAGCACTGGTCTGTCAATTTGCTCTACTGAGGTCACCTGGGGTTGTTGTGATAACCGATTGCTGGGCCACTAGTGTGTCAAATGCCACAATGGTGACCCACGGTGGACAGTGTTTGGAGGAGCTCTCAGACTGAGACAGGCTTGGAAGCAGGAGTGGCATCAACTTCATAAATAACATGCCTCCAGAAACT